TTCGTTACGTATATTCGTAGTAATATTCACTACTTACTCTCTATACTACTACACACACTAACTAATACTATACTCACACTAATAATATTACTTACTCTCTCTCTCTCTCTCTCTCTCTCTCTCTCTCTCTCTCAGATGCAGTTTCAACGTCAACATTGAAGTAGTATCAAGCGAGATCAATTTGGGTTGGTCCATGAATACACAATTATTATACCAAGAGATATGTAGATAGATGAGTCGAGGATGATTTTGATATTGTATGAAGAGATAAACTAAAGAGTTGTTGTAGAAAGAATCAGATTCGGACGCTGGAGACCTCATTCCTTTTTCATCTCCTCTATGACTTTTATTTATTTTTAGGAGCGTCCTTACGTTGTGTAATTATATCTTTGTGCACATATTTGGCTTCATCTTTGATGATGAAACACTCGCAACTGTTTCCCTATAAAATGTACAGTAATATATAGGGGCTTATGAGCATTTCATGCAGTACTTAAACGCTTGGGCTATGTTAAGGAACTTGAATGTTATTTACTTTTTTCCTTGTGCCATGTTTTCATCAAGTAGAACTGCATCCTAGAATCATGAAGCTAATTGAAACATTTGTTTTACTTTTTGCAGCATCATGGACAAACAGATCCTTCTGTGATAGTTAACACTCTCATGCACTATGGCGTTTCTTCTGAAGTTGGTAGCTTCAACATTTGGAATTTTTGCATATATCATATGTTTTTTGAATTTGTTGCCAAATCACAGGAAGAATTGTAGCGAGATGGCCTTCCTTGTGATAGATCATACATTTTTTACATATATCATTATGGCTGTCTTGCTTTCAGCTTGAAATGCATCTTTGGGTACCCTATTATTTTCATCTTCTGTTTTTGGATAGTTATTCTTTTCATCTTCATTTTAATTGAAATCTAGCATTTCCAAACAGAGACTTTGATTTATACTTCATCCATGCAATATTGACAGTTTCTCGGGGAGATGCTCGTGCATTGCAGACGCTTCGTGCTACTATGAATTTACTAAACCATTTTTGTTAGTCCCTGTGTCTGTGGCAATCAACGTTTTGTTAAATTGATAAAAATACAATGGACTTTTCTTTGATGAAGAATTATGTCATTGAATTAAAATAATATTATGAAGTTTTGGTGTGGCAAGCCGGTCAAGGTGGCAATTGATACTCAGCTATATCCTATCCCTGTTTGAAAGTTAGTTATAGCAGATCACATGCTCTCAGCAATTCCTTAGCTTCCACAGGAATATGGAGTGGTCTTCGATCCATCAAATTACGTTTAAAGAGTTGCTTATGATATCACTCTCGTCTAGATGGGCAAGAAGTGACGTATCTTTTAATGACACTGTTTTGCTGAAATAGGAAAAGCAGCTATTATTATCCCACTTTGAGCTGTAATAGCTGCATATTGAGTTCTTCAAGAAACAAGCTTTGAATGGTGGTGATTGGGATAACAGTGATCTTATCTTGCCTTATATGCATGTAAACCTGATTGAATAATTAGCTATACCATATTCAACTGTTCAGGATATTTTTTGGAAATTATCTGGACTATGTAATGCGTTTTTTTCAAGTTTTGTTAAGTTTCTACACATTTCGGGACAAATATTTGTGAGCCGTAAAGTCTTTGTAAGTTTCTTGCTGATTTCATATTTTGGGTTGTTTTCACATTCTTGTAGGTTGCCAATGAAAAGTTGCCTGAAATAAAGCTGAGCATGATTGAATTCACTAAAGAACATGCCAATGAAATTGGGGAAGGATTGCTGGTTCTTCCTGGAGTAGCTTCATTGCTACAGGCTTTGTCATCAAAGGATAATGTGCTCATTGGCTTGGTATGTTTTATGTTCATGTTGTTACTATGTCACTTTTTCATTTTTTTTTGTTGATCTGTTTCTCTGTCACTTTTTGGCAATTTTCCATTCGTTAACAAATGCTGGTTTTTTGTATTACAAGAGTAGTTCTGGTAGCCATTCAGTGTCTTCAGTTGGTATGAAATTATGACGTGGACATGTTAAGAGCCAGTTTGGAACCCACTTGCATTTGCGGCAGTAAGTGATGGGTGCACATGCAAAAGGCGTTCTTTTACGATTGGACTAAAAACAGGAATTTTTTTTTCATCCCAATCACAAAAGTTAGGCCTTTTGCATGTCTGCCAATAGGTGTTTGTCTTTCTGTATGACGTAGGACCAAGAGAGCTTGGAACCTACACAAGTGTAATACACCTAGTAGGACTTAGAAAGAAGGACTAGGGTTCAGGTATTTGGATTAAATATAGACTGCAGGGTTAGGGTTTTGGTTAGATTTTTGGTTTAAGGTTTGACTGATGGGAATAATTTCAATTTCTAGGATGGAATAAGGGCTTTTAATAAACACAAGGGGATGATTTGGAGCTAGAAAAAGGTAAGGAAGGAGTTAGGGTAAAAATAGGGATTCAATGGAGGTGAGTCTTGATGGAAAATTGCACATTCAGCAAGAGCAATGACTGGGTTTGTAGAAAACAAGGCGAGATCAGGGTAAATTAGGTTTGGTGGCCTTAGGGGTGATGGTTTCAGAAGGTGGTGGGCTATGTTACGAGTGCTTGGGAAGGGTCTATTTGATGGGTTAGAAATAGGATGACTAATTTGCTTGAGGGAATCTTGGATGGGGAAGTGCCACAAATGTAGGAACGAAAAAGTAGGGGTCCAAACTCATGTACGGAGAACCTCCAATCCACAAGCTAAGGTTTTGGGGAATTGCTTCACCAGAAGATGAAGAGGGGCTCTAATCTTTGGGGGGACTTTCCCTAACTTAGGCTAGAGTTGTAAATTCAATCTCTCTACCAAAAAGAGTTGAGGAATGTCTCATCTAAATGTGACCTACATATGTTTTTATATGGGTTTGAATCCGTCTTTGTTTTACTGGGCTGAGGAGTCAAGCTATGTCTACTTTCCTAAACTTCCCCAATCATATAGTTTCTTTGAAAATTAGGTAACTAGTTCCTTTGTAGTTTTAGGAAGCTAGGCTCTTACAAAACAAGAGAAGAATCTTTCTGGACTCTCAAACAGAATAGGAAACTATCTTTAATCATATAATTGGAAATAATAACATCTTGCTAAGAATTAAAAGGACACGCTTATTTAGTGGGAAAGTTGTTTGATCTAAAGCGCTTTCCCCTCACCATAGGGAAGTGCTTTCCCGCCTCAAAAGGTGGAGTGCCGCTTTCTCTTGAAAGCAGCAGAAGCTAGGAAAGTGCTTTCCCATATGTTACAAGTATGCTTTCATATAGGAAACAAACATGTGAAAGTGACAGTCTCTGGAAAAGAGTTTTCTCAAAAAATTTCTCTCCCAAAAAACAAATGTTCCCAAAAGGAGTGTAACTTTTCTAACTGTATTAAAGCCAAAATATATTTTTTTGGGTAATTCAGTGGTAGGAATCAAACTTGAGATGTAGCGTTGCTACCCTCAACGGCCGACCACTCAAGCCCAAGCCACTTCTAATTAAAACCTAAATGTAATTAATGCTAAAATTCAGAACTAAATTTCGCAGCAGGCTTTTCGACCATGATTTGGAGCATTATGAAAAGCTCTTAGAGATAAGGGTTATAGATCCTGACCATATATTTAATTTAAATTTGGATCAATCCAATTGAGCATCCTCGTGAAAAGTTGCATCCTTTGAAAGCTGTCTGCACCACTTCATTGCTTCCAAAGGGATTATGGGTTGAGCTTTGGCCGTACCATGTCTATCTCTATCGACGCCCAAAACACACCTAAGTTTGGTCGAGTTCAAGTTGGATTCAAGAGAATTGGATATTTGCTTTTTTTATTTAGAGGATCTTGAAAACGATGAAAAAAATATGGGTTCATCAAATTTTGTAGAGATCACTAGATAGTATTTGACAACTGGATACAGTGAGCTTCATGTACTGATACTTGTCAATGTAGTTTATTTTTTTGGTTTAGAGAGTAACAAGCTAAAGCTCTGTATGAATGTGTTGTACGTACATGAATATGGAAGGTACTAACATAGCAAGGAGTGGTCACACTTCTTTATGCTCAAGTTATAATTCTTTATATTGTTCTTGCATAGTTAGCAGAAGCCAGGTTATTGTTGGGCTATGGAATGTTGTGCGAAGCCCCAGCAGTGGTGTTTTAGTCATTATTGTGTTCTAATTTTCCTTATATATTTGTCCATTATAATAGTGTAGCTTACAGTTGCACATACATCAGCAAAGTCTTATTTCTCGTTTTTCATGTATTTTGTTCGAGAGACCTTCTTTTCTCTTTCCATTGGTGAGTAGTACATTAGATAATTTCGGGGGAGCATAGTTTGTCCCACATGCTAGACAGCCTTAGATGGGTTAAAAGTTCCCTACTAGCCAAATGGGTCTCTGAAGATTTTCCTCCCAGCCTGATGGATATGCAGGTTCTCTTATGATGGAATAAACCTCTGCTAAAATTTTCGGAAAGGTGGATGCATCCTAGAGGATTTTGAATTCTAGAAGGGTTTTTGGAGGCACCTATGTTCACTCTCCAATGTTAGGAATAGGATCTTTATAAGAGAGGGGGTTCCAGTTACAAGATCTATCATTCTACCTCTGCTCCTGACTAGTAATCAGAAACACTATGGCAGATGTCTGGCAAACATGGTACATGACTAGTTGAAGGTAATGCAACCTTTAGAAAGAAGGTATGGAGCCAGCCCACACCAATTACAACTATTGAAAACTAAATTTTGGAGGTCGTTAAAAACATATAAGGGCTTCTGGGTCCTTGGAAATTCTGAGGTTGAACTAATCTGGTGTAATTATGTGCCCTTGGGATCCAGAAACTCTGGTTGGGCTGATGTTGAGACTTTTTCATGGACCAGAAAACACTTATAGACTTTCAATCACTTTTTGAAGATTAAAGGAGACTAACATCATCTGAAAGCTCTAGAATGCTTGGGTTGCTCCTTAGAAAATGTACATGTTACATTTTTGCAAATATTTTTTTATACTATTTGTTTTATTGTAAATTTGTACCATCTAAAAAGGTAGCCAACTTGGTGGTAGATAGCCTTTGGTAATTTGTGGGTTTATTGGGAGGGGTTAGGGTTTTTTTTTTTTTTCTTTCACACATTTTCTTCTTTGTGTTCTTGCTTGATAAATTTTTTTCACTGGGAATTCCTGCTGGTTGTAGATGTGCTTTTTGTTAATAGAAAAAGTATGGATGTCTTACCCATCAAAAAATACGGAAGTTAGGAATTAGGACTGGTCAAAATAGGGAGTAATTATTATTCGGCATTTGATCATTTTGCTATTGACGTATAGGCAACATCAAGTCTGCAGAGCTGGACAAGTGCGAATCTGTATCTGAATTTATTTTATTTTTTGTTTCTTTATGTTTCCCCTTCAATAAGTGCAAGAATGGCCAAGGAACAGTTTCTTTTGGTTTCTGATGTGTTCCCAGGTTACAGGTAACTTGGAAGAAATAGCATGGCTGAAGATGGAAGGGCTAGGAATCAGGAAATATTTTACGGTCCCCAATTTTGGAGGGTGAGCTAAATTGAGCTGGTTATATTATGAGTTATATCGATCTTGCTCTTCTAGTATATTGCTATAGTCTTAAATTATATTCTCTTAGTGGGTCATATTATGAGTTCATGTTGTTCCATTGTTTGATTTGTTCTCTCTCTCACACACACACACACTCTGTGTGTGTTTGCGCCCCCAACAATTTTGAACCTCATACCAGATTTGGAAGTGATCATTTTGATCGAGGGCAGCTTGTAAAAATCGCTGCAGACCGAGCTGAGAAGATGTTCCCTGGGGAAATTGGCGTACGCGTGCATGTCGGGGACACCGTATGTTTTTGCTTAACCAGTCAATGACTAGAGAATGCAAACTTTTCTTTGATTACATTATCTCTTATTTTTGAGTCGTTCCTCTGTACTATGGCAGCCAAATGATATTAAGGCAGCTGAGTTTGGAGGAGCTTTGCCTATTGGTGTGGGCACCGGCATCTTCACCAGGGAGGAGCTGGAACAGGCGAGCACTAGCGGCAAGGCTGCCATTCTGGATGATCTTGCTGATATTAGTGCTTTCATGAAATTACTGGGCATTTGAAGCTAGAAATATCTCACTGGTAGCACTGTCAGCACAGATCATTCTACTATAAGTTAAATCTCTTAGATTCTTTTTTAAGAATATTGGTGGTTGAGATCTTCTCAATCATTTGGTATTGAAAGCTAGATTTATTTTTTCTCAATATTTATTTTGAGAAATTATCTTATCAATATAACCATCTACATGGGATTGTTTGGCATTGAGAGAGAGAGAGAGAGAGAGCGAGAGAGAGAAAGAGAGAGAGCATGTTCTTCTGATGCGAATACTGTAGGAAAATAGAACAGCTGGTCATAACCATTAAGCCAGGAGGCTAAACCCCATATTAATATAAAGAGTATGCTTAGACATGAAATCCCTATAAAACTGATATCTACCTTATACTGCTGTATAATTAAAGATCCCTTCTCACTATGTATCCTCAAACAAGGATCTCTATTTTCAGACTAGTTTATTCTATGGCTAAGGCTACATGAAGCCTATAAAGACTTCAATTCACACAACCCTTGCTACTAAACAACTCGGGAAAAGGTGGCCTAGAGTAGCCATGGTTCAAAATGAGGTCGGCCACCACCCTATACAGCGCATCAGTCATATGAACCCCATCCCAGTTCACATATTTCTCAGGGTTTGGACATGCACTGGCCCTTTGCCAAGTCACAGGGCTCACATTGTCAGTCCAACAAGTGGCGATTAGATCGAAATTGTACGGCCCGCCTACACCACAACAGGCCTTGAAGGGCTCCGTGAACCCATAAGCTTGGGGGTTTTGCATGATGGTGCGGTGGGCGCCAGAGAAGTCTGCATAGATAATAACAGTGTTGGGGTAATGCTGCCTAAGCTCCTCGAGTTTGGTTTGCAGAAGTGAGTTGTGCAGTTGGCTCTGCCTGTCTGCAAAGGCGGAGCACCCGATGTCATCCTTGGTGGAGCTCATTAGGACCATGGAGAGAGGTAGGCAGCCTATTGATGGAAGCCCCTGTACAACCAAGTACTTGGCACCCTTCTTGATTAACCCCTGATCGATTTGAAAGAAAAAAGAAAAAAATTGAATTATTAGTGTCATGATAGTGCTATCTGATTCCTTAGGAGACAAAATTTCATGAAAAATTTGATAACGAATAAAAAATATTCAAATGATATACATTGAATCAATCATAAGATTAGAACCATGTACTACGAAAATAATACTTGTTGCTTTTGATATTAGGTTCCTTGAAAGAAAATAATACTAACAAGGAACTTGTTAAATATTTGTTAGGAAAATATGCATAAATTAGACCAAAAGTTTTTTGGATTGATTGCATGCTTCTTTCTATTTTTGATGGCAAATGGAGGTTGCTTTGCATCAATTGCTTACCCCCTTGGACTAATAAATTGTTCATAAAATGAAATGAATAAAGTAGTTATCAGTTAAAACTGTGAAAAACTTGATCTATAAGAGATGTTAAAAAATCCATGAAGCCTAATAATCAAGGAAAGGATGCCACGTTCTAAGTAGCCTACTGTAGTATGCTTTTAGTGGGCACCACCATCCAACATCAATCGGACGAAAGATGCAGAAATTAAAGTTTCTTGAGGTTTCGTAGTGTCTTTCAATCATGTTTACCGAGAGAAAATGCAGTAGCGGATAGCGTAGCCAAAGAAGGGGTTCCTAACAACAATCTTTACAAAATTTTTGTGACGTCTTTGTAGAAAGTTTTGTATAGCTCAATACATTTGTACATTAATTTGTTGGCTGATGAAAGTTATGTGTTGCCATTCAAAAAAAAAAAAAAACAGAAAATGCTTAGCCAAGCTCGGTTTTCACACTAGCCGTTAGATGGCTTGGCCTTCAATAAATGGGCTTGGAGTATTTTTGAAAAAATTTAAAAACATTTCAAAGTAGGACTTTAATGATTTGGCCCACATTTGTCCCAATGCCCCTTTGTTTGAACAAAAAATCAACATGAATTAATAAAGCACAGTGCCTTATCCTATAAAAATGAGCATGGAAGTAAATAGTGTAAGACAAGTAGGACCATGGACCACATTAGAAGCTCTTGGAAGTAAATAGTGTAAGACAAGTAGGACCATGGACCACATTAGAAGCTCTTTGTGGAGTAAATTGCATGAAACAACTTATTCGAGGCCACATGAATTTGGGAGCTCAGATATTGGTAAGTTAGGCTTAACTAAATTTCAATAGAGTAAAATTATTTAAAGAAGTCATGCAATCTACTGATATTAAGGACTTGGTCTCACTGAGGGTATGACTTTTAATAGAGCATAATGACAGATCAAGATTTATGTAGCCGACTTCAATTAATAGGAAAAAAGCTTTGACGATAATAATTAAATCTACAGATAAAATTTTATCAATATATAAATCTCATAAGAATGATGAAACATAGTGTGGAATGTGGGCAATGTACAGGTTGTCAAGGTTAGAGAGCGAGAAGACCAGAAGAAGGGAAGCATCCTGTGGACTATGAGAAAACCATAGACCATGAGGTCATCTCCATCCAACCGTTGAGGATGGCGATGTAGAGAGAATGGAGCCCACTAAAACATGCCACGACTCTCCATCACCATCCATCCATATGCCAAATCTGCCAATACTCGATAATCCAATTGATTATGCTAAGGGTGTGGTTTGGTCGCAGCCTTAAACAATCCAATTAACGTGTAACTCCAAATTTTATTATAACATGTAATTTTTGTGTAAATTTTTTTTAGGATTATCTAAAAATCTATTTTTATATCGAATTATAAGATTTTAAACTCCAAAAATGACTAAAATCAAGTAAATCTATAAACATATGATAATCTTGAAAATGGACGGTCCATAATATATTACAAGATGCATTATTTTTAGGACTCAAAATCTTCATATACATACATCTCGATGTTGAGATGATCAATTAGAAGGTATTTTAACACTAAAACAACATTTTTCGATGGATTGTTTAGTTGCAACCTTATATAAACTTTTTCCTCATGCTAATACTAACACTTTTGAGTAGTGAACATTATTGACCATAGCAGTTACCTCTACAAGCCTTGCCACGTTGAGGATGGCGAGCTCCCTCACAGTGCCGGGCAAGACCGATGTTCCAGCGGTGTATGCATAATCGTTGGCGCCGATCTCTCCGACCCAAAACAGAATGCTGTCATCAATGCACCCATCTTTTGCATGAGCGCCTCTACACTGTGCCTGCAGGAATTGGGAGAACCAGTTCCACTGGTTTTGCAGTGACTGAGGACTGAGAAAACTTATACTAAGATTCCTACTCGAGTAAAAGTCGCTATCGAGTGCAGTGGATCCTGCAACTGCAAAATTGACGCCATTTTTGAAATCTGCAGAGTTGTTGAGGTAAGCAGGTACGAAAGGGAGCCCAAGAGACTGTGCAACGAAGTCGAGCATCAGGCGGCCATCAGAGTAGCGGTTTGCAGGGCGCTGGAAGAAAGTTTCGCCATATGGGCGCCTCGGGGGGATGGCATTGCCGGTGTCGGTGTAGGAATCGCCAAAGGCGTAGATTTTGGAGAAGCACTGAGGGAAGGAGGGAAGGGAGGTGGAGAGGGGGAGGGTGGTGGTGATGAGGAGAGTGAGTAGAAGTAGCCGGTCCATTATCTTCCTCTGGTGCTGGAAGCAACTCTGATGGTGGATAATGTGTTCTATGATGAAATGGAGAGGGTGGTCATATACAGGGGGAGGTGGGGGGTTGGGGGGTCATTAGTGGTTGGGGTTGCTTTGTATATTTATTGTGGGAGAGAGAGATGTGCTTCCATACATGGAAACAACGTATGTGTGTGAGGGGGCCTGGGGAAGGGGGACGTAGGGTGCCCAAGGACCCGGACCCAACCCAGTATTGGGTCCAAAACTTGGACCCTGCAGGTCCGGGTCCAAATATTGAACCCGAATACTATTTGGGTCTCGGTCCCAGTCTATGTGGACCCGGTCCCAGTTTATGTGGACCCAACCCTATAATTTAAATGAAATTTTATATATAATATTTAAATAACTACAATTATATATTTTAGTTATAATATTTAAATAAAGAAAAAGTTTATATAAGGATACAACCTTATAATGTAGAATGACAGATGCACATCAAAAATCCATCGAAAAAGATAGTTTTAATGTTAAAAATAATTGATCATCTCGATGCATGACCATGAAAAATAAAAAGATTTTAAGTCTAAAAAATAGTACATTTTACAACATATTATCTACACCGTCCACTTTCAAGATTTTCATATGTGTATAGATCTACTTGATTTTAACTATTTTTGAAATTTAAAATTCTATAATTAGATATAAAAGTAGACTTTAAGATAATCCTAAGAATATTTTACATCAAAATTATATACCACGATAAAATTTGAAAGTGCACCTTACATCTACTGCTACAGATGCATCTATATGCTAACTGCACCATTTAAAAATGGGTGCAGTTTGTATAAAGTCGAGGCTCTAAGCAATCAAAATAAAGTGCACCTTCAAATAGTATCGAGAAGCATGGTAAATCTTTGTGATTGTCTTAAAATATATTTTCATCTTTAATTATAAATTTTAGAGCTTAAAAAATAATATAGATTGAGCTGATATATGAAAACTTGAAAATTGACGGTCCAAAAATGCATTACAATATGCACTATTTCCAAAACTTGAAATCTATTTTGTTCTCATGTCCAAGCATATAGATGTCGAGATGATTGATTGGAGGATATCTTAGCATCAAAACAACCTCTTGTAGTGAAATTTTTGAAGGGGGCTCTAATTTGATTGTTTAGAGCCTTGGCACTATATAAACTTTTTTCTTAAATAATACACGGATATATTTAACATAATATATATATATATATATATATATATATATGGATGGGTGGGGTCCAATCAGGTCCACGTCTAGGTTTGGATCCCATGATTTGTCTTTGGATAAAGGTTCAGGTTCAGTCGAACCCAGACGTGACCCAACCCGTAGCTACCCCTGGGGGAGGGTGGTTAAATGCAAAGTATGGCCTGACCCGGACCCAACCGGGATCACATTGTTAAATACGAAATTGGGTGGCTAGGGGTGTCTCTAGCCACAAAATTCAAAATAGAAATTTTCAAACTATGTAACACTTTTTAAGCTGTTGGATTTTTTGTATACATATATATATATATATCAGTTGTATAGTAATATATTGATCTCAATTTTCATTCCATTAAACAATTACAAAAAAAAACAAAATTTGAAAATTTACTCTAGAAAGTGTTATTTTAACCCAATAAGCATAAGCCGTTCATTTTGTTAAGGTGCTTAAATCTAGGCTTTAGAAGGATTTTTCTCCTTTAAAAATTTTAGATAGTTTTGTTATCATTAGTTGAATTGTTATCATTAGTTGAACAATGTTGAAAAAGAAAAAAAATGGTTTTGAGTTCATAAAGGCCTACATCTTGAAATTGACCAAATGGATGGCCTAGATTCATTATTGGAGGGGACTAATTTTAACCATATTTATGAAGCAAATTTAATTTTTCTTTTCTGAAAATTGATTGTTGGGATGAAGAGATAGTATGTACCATTTTTTATGTGATACGAATGCTACAAACGTGGTTTTTTAGATGTGTGGTTGCATTATATTACTATACAACCGTTACATGAAATCAGTCCCTATATATATGGAAAAGTCTTCCCAATGCTTATTGGCGAAAATGAATAATGACTTCGCCTACCTTTATCACCGTCCAAAGTTCATCTCATGGTCACGATTGTCAGGTAGTATTTTATTTTTTTATTTATTTTTCTACAAATTGGAATGACATGAAATTTAAAATGTGTGTACATCTTAGTGAGGCACATTTAATAAAAATATATAAAAAAAAAAATTGCAAAAAAAAAGTTGATCAAAATACCCCTGAAACTTTTCGGGGGTATTTTGGCCAATCTTTTCATGTAAAAAATGTTTTGATATTTTTCATAGATTTGTCTATTTTTTTTATGAACACACGCTCCAAATTTCAGATCATTCTGATTTATAAAAAAAAAAAATGAAAAATAAAACACTACCAGACAATCATGACCGTGTGATGAACTTTGGACGGTGATGAGGGTAGGTAAAATCATTGTTTATTTACGCCTATATATATAGGAAGATACTATAAAATACCTATAGGCGCAAATAAACAGTGATTTCGCCTACCCTCATCACCGCCCAAAGTTCATCGTACGGTCACGATTGTCCAGTAGTATTTCATTTTTCAAATTTTTTTCTACAAATCGGAATGATCTGAAATTTGGAGCATGTGTTCATAAAAAATAGGAGAATTTAATAAAAATATAAAAAAATAATTCATAAAATATAAATTAACTAAAATACCCCCAAAAATTAAGGGGTTATTTTGGTCAATTTATCTTATATGAAATATTTTTTCATATTTTTATTAGGTGTGCCTCCTTAAGATGTACACACGCTCCAAATTTCAAATAAATAAAAATAAAAATTGAAATACTACTGGACAATCGTGACCGTACGATGAACTTTGGACGATGATGGACATAAATGAAATCGCTGTTCATTTTCGCCTATAGGAGTTGAGAAAACTTTTCATATATATATATACATACACACGTGTAGTGGACGATCTAGGCATGTTGATCCACTTTCGAGTCCAAACCCTAACCTCCATCATTACAACCAGGTTACTCAAGCCGCTTCAGCACCATGAGAAAGGAGACGATTCAATAAATGGAGACAAGCTAGTGTAAGGGTGGCAATATGCCGGGCCAGCCTGGCCTAGGCCTAGCCCTTGTCCCATAGGGCTACCCTAAGCCCGGCCCAGCCCTACGGGGCTAGCTCGGCCCGTGGGCCACAGTTTGTGGCCTAGGCCTTGTTAGAATTTTTGGTTTGAAAAATACTTGTGTATATTTTAAAATAACAATATAGTTTTTGTGGTTTTTCCTAAATTGTATTTTGTAGAGCGAAAAAGTTATGGGCTTTTAGTCCCACATTGAAGAAGATAGTATAGATCGGTTATATTTTATTGTGGGCATTCTCATGGATTATACTCTTAATGGAAAGGTGAAAGAGATGGTGCGTGTGCGTGGGCACAAGAGCGCTTAATGACTCGCTTTACATTTTGCAGTGGCGCTCGCCCGAGAACATGTACGGATTGGTTCGAGGCTCGATATCTTTTTATGAGCATAACTCGTGGGGGACATCCAATGGTCATTAGCCGTTGATGAAATAGATACTTCTAAAAGCAGCCGTTGAGTTAAGGGCGTGCATGTAACTTCTGATTATTTGTTGTGCATGTAACCATCGAGAACAGGTATGGATCGGTTTGAGGCTCGATATCTTTTTATGAGCATGACTCGTGGGGGGCATCCAACGGTGCCGTTGATGAAATAGATAGATACTTCTAAAAGCAGACGTTGAGTTAAAGGCATGCATGTAACTTTTGATTATTGATTGTGCATGTAACCACCCTTACAATAAATGGGCAGCTTCTAGGAACTCTATAATAAAGGTTATTTTTTTTGTATGAAAAATAGATTACACAACTCTCACTATTTCTCTGCGAATTTATAGAGAGCATAATAATGAACTCATCTATCTCTCTCTACTCGTTTTTTGTCTATTTCTCTCTCTAAACAACACAAGATTTTAGTATCTACAGTGGGTTTCAAGCTCAGGTGCACAGACCTTTGGAGCATCAAAAGAGACCTATTTATTTTGTTGTATCCCGACGAAGAGTTAACATTATTATGCACACTTTTTATAGTATCGAAAGGGGACAAATAACGCCTTGAGATAAAGTTCCTACGTGCCAAAAAAACAAAAAGGAATCAATCTTCTTTTTGACAAATCCGTATTATCTTTTGCCCCAATTTCACCTGCCCCAATTTCACCCAACCGATTTTCCAACCTGCTCTATGTTTTTAGAGTTGGCCCGGACCAGGCTGCCAAGAGAGTGGGAGGGAGGTACCTTTTAATTTGGAGAGAGAGGGTGTGCGTGTGGGTGAGGGAGGTGGCTTTTAATTTGGAATGTGAATGTATCATGAGAGGGTGGTCGGTGAGGGTTGAATGGGCGATTAAATGAGGGCCCTATGTGTTTTGAATGCTTAGGAGCAAGGATCCTGGAATATGTACGAATTGGTGGTTGGGTGATGAGATAGCAGTTGGACCTCCTCCTATTTCTAAATGCTTGTGCCTTTGGTTTGGTGAAAGTATGAATAAGCAGGATTGTACAAGTGAAGTCTTTTAATTTGTCATGGATTGAAGTCAAGAATATGACCTAGACTTTATAAGAATAATAAAGAGCTGTCCTTGTTGACTGTAGAATCGCCATGAATAATCACTCCCTTATCTCAAATGTACCTCCTGAATTAAAATTGAGGGAAGTTAGGGCAACATTACCTATTTTTTTGGTATTAATAGGTTTTTCGTGTTCAGTTAAGGAATAAAAATAATCTAGGACCATAAGTTTTGTACAGCTCGAATCATTGTTTGGAACCAATATTGGATTCCTTACGAAAAGTATAGATCCAAACGGTCTAGAACTCGTTACAATGAGCTAAAGTGGTACATAACTATTCGGACTGTTTTGGTTCCTCATCGATCATAAACTAATAGTTCCAAACTGCTCATTGTAAGGAATCCTTTGATTCCTTACAAAAAAACAAAGGTGTGGATCAAAACATTATGGAATTATTAGTTTTGAACCACCCCTTGTAATGATCTAAACGGCCTGGAACTAATAGTACAAAATTATTAGCGCTCTCTCATGACTACAGTTGGCAAAGGCGAGATGGCCTAGCTCCATCTGGCTATCTTTGCTCTAAAAAACTAAGGCTTGGGCCA